GCCCATGCCAGCGTCGCGTTGGTCTGACAGGGTAACTGAGGCACCACTGTGGAGGTGCCACAGGGGGTACCTGTGTGGTGTCACGAAGTGCCCATGCCAGCGTCGCGTTGGTCTGACAGGGTAACTGAGGCACCACTGTGGAGGTGCCACAGGGGGTACCTGTCGTGGCCCAAGCAGAACTCGATCGTGATACACAGTCTAGCCGTATCTACGTGCAGAACGTATACGCGCGCGCAAACGCACACACACGCACGCAAACACACACAATGACAACAGGTACCGAGCAGACATGTTCGTGACAGAGCCCGCTGGGCCCAACACGAACCTGGGAACGACGCTCAGCAGCTGGCCTCCCCCTTCGCAGCAGACGACACGCCCGGTCCATATCCAGACCCGGTCCATATCGGACCCGGTTCATATCCGGACCCGGCAACATATCCGAGCCCCAGAACATATCCGGGTCAGGCGTAAAAAAGGCGAGCGTTTACGTTATACCGGACGCAGCCGACACACCGTTGTGCAGCGACAGAGGGCGACGACGGCCGGCTGTCGGTCCTCCCCCCCCCCCCCCTCTCCCCTCCGCTCCCTCGTCGTCCAGACCGAGCCGCCGCGGCGCTGCGCTGCCCTCCACTAGACCCGGCGTGACCTCTGACCCGTCGTGATCTCTGGCCTGACGTGACCTGCGGGGACCTGTCGCGACCTCAGAAACCCGATATGACCTCTGACCCGGTATGACCTCTGACCCGGCATGACCTCTGACCCGGCATGACCTCTGACCCGGCATGATCCACAACCCGGTATGACCTCAGGAGACGCGACGTGGCCTCGGTGTTGGCCCGTCCCTTGCGTCAGGCTCCAGCTGGGCTGGTAAGTCCGACACGGCCCGCCCTCTGCACTGATGGTTCGCTAGGCCGCAACACCGGCCACAGCGTGGCCGGCGGTCCGCCGCTCCCCGCCCCGTTTCTGCCGCAATGAGCATAAGAAATAGCCCCACGGCATATCGGGAGAAATAGCGTAACACGCATCCAGTGCAGCTCCAATGCCCCGACTTGCGTAACGCACGGCGAGCGCGGCCCTCGATCAGGCCGACTGTACAACAGGACCGTCTGTCTGTCTGTTACACCGGCTGACTGTCCGACGGGACTGTCTGTTACACCGGCTGACTGTCCGACAGGACCGTCTGTCACACCGGCTGACTGTCCGATAGGACCGTCTGTCACACCGGCTGACTGTCCGACGGGACTGTCTGTCACACCAGCTGACTGTCCTGTCGGACAGTCAGCCAGTGTGACAGACAGCCGGTGCTGTCCGACAGGACAGTCTGTCACACGGGTTGACTGTCCGACAGGACTGTCTGTCACACCGGCTGACTGTCCGGCGGGACTGTCTGTTACACCGGCTGACTGTCCGGCAGGACAGTCTGTCACAAGGGCTGTCTGTCTGACAGGACTGTCTGTCACACGGGCTGACTGTCCGGCGGCACTGTCTGTTGCACTGCTCTCTGTCCGACAGGACAGTCTGTCACACGGGCTGACTGACCGACGGGACTGTCTGTCACACCTGCTAACTGTCTGACAGTACGGTTTGTCACACGGGTTGTCTGTTCGACAGGACTGTCTGTCACACCTGCTGACTGTCCGACAGGACAGTCAGCAGGACAGGACAGTCTGTCACACGGGCTGACTGTCCGACGGGACTATCTGTTACAAGGGCTGACTGGCCGACGGGCGGACACGAGGTGTGGGTGCGCCCGGCTGAGCCGGCCGTCATCGGCTTACATCCCGCCAGGGAAAACACCTGGCGGGACCGTCCACTCTGCGGAGAAGGGGTGAATATCGCCAGCGCGAAAGCTCCCAGCACGCCTAGTAACCGTCAGACGAGCCGGCTAACGGGAGCCCGGCGGTGCGCCCACATCTGAACCGGGTCAGGCCGGGCCGGGCCGGGCCGGGGCGGGCCGGGGCGGGCCGGGCCGAGCCGACGTGAGCCGACATGAGCCGACCTGAGCTGACCTGAGCTGACCCTCAGCTCGCTCCGCTGTGACGGGTCGCTCGGGATCAGGCCGGTTCCTCCGACCCATGACGTCACCGAGATCGAGTCTGCCCCCATCCCCCTCCTGCTGCCCCAGACGCACCTGAAGCGCAGCCAGCTGCTTGTCCAGCTCCTTCTGCTGGCGGTAGCGTCGCAGCCGCTCCTCGCGCTGCTTGGACATGGTGGCCAGGTCACGCATGGTGGGCGGCCGCGGCTGGCGCGCCGGCTCTGCAGCAGCCTCGGCGCGCGCGCGCGGGATGGCCGCATCTGTCAGGCCGTAGTCGCGGCACCGCTGCACGAAGTCCCGGTAGTACACCTCGGCCACGCTGATCACCTGGCGGCCCGGCGGATGACGTCATCGGTCGCGGCGGCGCGGGCTCGCCGGCTCCACCGCGCGCGCTGGCGGAGCCGGCGGCGACAGCTCCGACAAACTGAACCGCTCGCCGAAGACACCTGCGCGGTCTGAAACCTGTGACGGCCGTCTGGCCCCGCAGCGCAGCGAGATGCCATCACAGGCGAACGGCGGCGGCTATGACGCCGCAGGTGCACGGCCGTCAAGTGTGCACACAGGACATGACCGTCAGGTGTGCACACAAGACACGACCGTCAGGTGTGCACACAAGACACGGCCGTCAAGCGTGCACACAGGACACGACCGTCAGGTGTGCACACAAGACACGGCAGTCAGGACACGACCGTCAGGTGTGCACACAAGACACGACCGTCTAGTGTGCACACAAGACACGACCGTCAGGTGTGCACACAAGACACGGTCGTCAAGCGTGCACACAGGACACGACCGTCAGGCCACGGTCGTCAGATACGTACACAAAACACGACCTTCAGGTGTGCACACAAAACACGGCCGTCAGGACACGACCGTCAGGTGTGCACACAAGACACGGCCGTCAGATGTGCACGCAAGACATGGCCGTCTGGTGTGCACACAAGACACGGCCGTCTGGTGTGCACACAAGACACGGCCTTCAGGTGTGCACACAAGACACGGCCGTCAGGACACGACCGTCAGGTGTGCACACAAGACACGGCCGTCAGGTGTGCACACAAGACATGGCTGTCAGGTGTGCACACAAGACACGGCCGCCAGGTGTGCACACAAGACACGGCCGTCTGGTGTGCACACAAGACACGACAGCCAGGTGTGCACACAAGACATAGCCGTCTGGTGTGCACGCAAGACACGACAGCCAGATATGCACACAAGACACAGCTGTCAGGTGTGCACACAAGACACGGCCGTCAGGTGTGCACACAAGACACGACCGTCAAGTGTGCACACACGCGCCAAGACGTCTGGGAAGCGAAGACGTACCAAGTTTAAGGCTGGGGTTGGAAAAGTGAGCCGGTCTCAGCGACGCACCAGCGCAACCTATACGCCCCGCCCGGGACCCTGCTGATCACGTGTGGCTTTTTTTGTGTGAGCGCTTTGGCCTCCATTTTGTACCCGCCCTCACCAGACCTCGGAAGGCAGGACACAGATCCATCAACTGTGACCAGCTCTTTGGATCCAAGCCCTGATTATTTTCACGCCGCGGCCGGGCCGGCCGCGGCGCCTGCAGCCGGCCCTCGCCGCGCCGCCGCCGCACCTGCAGCCGGTCGTCGCGCGCCAGCTTTGAGGTGAGCTCGCCGAGCAGCGCCGGCAGCAGCAGGAACCGCAGCGAACTGGTGGGCAGCTCATCCGCTGCCTCGTTGGTCGAGAACAGGCCGGCCGCCGAAACGCGCCGCGTCAGGTCCTCCAGCGCACAGATGGCCGTCCGCACCGCACTCTGCACCAAAACGTGGGTTCGAGTCCAGTTAGCAGGATATTTTCTTGTTTAACTGTGTTCAGGGGCAAAGTTTTTTTTTGGCTTGTGCCCCTCTCCCTGCATTTGATTCCCAGCTCTCTCAACTCAGCAGAGTGCATATCCACTGAAATGTAACAATAAAAACTCCATGAAATGCCAATAGCCTAGAAAATTGCATGGAATGTGAAGATCATATGCAAAAACTTTGTGCACTTTTTCCCTACTTTTTCTTGAATAGTTTTTGAAGATTAAAATATGACTTAATACCCCATTTACCCAAAAGACCAAAACTAGATTGGGGAAGCTGTATGTTATGTTAATCATGCTATGTTATGATTCTCCATGTCACAGTGACATCATGGGAGGAATCAATGTGCTGAACCAAGGATCCCATGTCTATTAT